GGAATGTTGTCCATTCTACATAAAAAAGATTGATACAGTTCTAAATATATTACATTTAATGTATTTTAAGAAAACGAATGCATCAGTAAAATAGAATTTTAACAAGTAATCAAGAGAGTACATCAGTTTATATACTAGGCATTGTAAGGTTTGAATGAAGGTACATAATTAATTAAGGTATTACATGTATTTTGCAGCTTAATTTTAACCATTATCTTAAAAAGTTAGTACCATTCAAATAGCTTTAATTATGCGTTATGTACACGGACATATCATAATTTTGTTGTATGTTGTTTGTAGATATTGCATACACATTTCAAATAAACCTAAGTAGTTTACCTGACTTAAGTCTTTCAACAAATGGCGGACTGTTTCGCAGCAAACTGAAAGGAAATACCGGGCAAGACTTCTTTCGTTTTCTATTTAGGCCATCTTTTAAAAAAAAAATGTTTGTACTCTCCCGACCGACTTACTAAAATGGCCCGACTCAAAGTTTTTTTCAACCTATAGGAAACAATTTTTTTTACCCATTTCGGCATTTTCTCATCTCGTCAACAACTTTTGTTAATTTTCATAGGCGTCGGAACCGGGGTGGGGGGGGGGTAGGGGGGCTTAGCCCCCCCCCCCCACTTTTTTTTTTCAAAGATAGACATAAGCATTGAAAATTGGGGCATACCTTTTTTCGTTGGTTTAGCCCCCCCCCCCCCCACTTTCAATTTGCTTCCGACGCCTATGATTTTATTTACACCTTTAATTTCAATAGGGGAGTTGCAGAAACTAGTGACAGAGAAAGAATTTGCATGTAAATATCCACGACTCATGAAGCGTTATATCTATATATATAGATAAAAATGCAGCAATGTAGTTGACTCTATTTACAAGGCGGGTATAATCCTTTATTTTGGCAAAACAATTAACCTTGAACGTTTCATTTATGTTTCGAACATTAAACCACTCGGCGAGTATGGCTTGTAAGTATTATTACTGCGTTGAAAAGCGCTTTGAAACCCCCTTTCCGCGTAAGGAATTATTCGGTAGTGACCAAACTACCGGGTGTTATATATACATGGATAAGGGTATTCAGGTTTGTTCAAATGAAGAGCCAAGCCCTTTTTCAAGGATAGATAATTAAAAATTAGTGGTATTTTTTCTCAAGAACCACATGGCCAGAAAAGATGAAACATATTAGCTTTTTTGTACATCAGTGTAGACTAAAGTTTGTTCAGATAATGACCCCACGGAGGTAGGGTGCATGGGACGTAAATAAAGGATCGAAATTTAAAGATGTACATGAAATATAGGAAAATAACTGTCAAAATCATCTTCAGCAGATCCATATATAATCATATCTGTATGGAAGTATAGTAGCATCCTCAAGTAGCAAGAATTCAAGTTCTTGGGGGTAGCTATAAGATGAGGCTAGACAAAAGAAAAATATAGAGGACTTTTTCTAAAAAAAAAAAAAGTCTTCTCAGATCAGCATGGACCATGATTAGTCAAATTAATATGCAAACATAGTACAGTCATTCTTCAAAAACATGCCCAATTAAGATTTCTTTTATGTCGCTTACAAATTACCTTTGTAATACCTTAATTATAATTTTAAAGATCTATATCAACTCTAAAACTTAAAATAGACACATGGTTTTGTAAATATTTAGTGATATATATGCAGTTAAAGTTTTGATATGAGCTTAGTATAATGTTTAAAAAGGTATTCCACTGTAAATCTTGATGTTGCTTCATTCATTTACAAATTTTAAGACGAAATTTTCAGCCTTTAAGACGAAATTTTCAGCCGTCATAAGCGTCCCGAGTAGATTGCAAGGAATTTCAAAGAAAAAGTTTTTTTTTCCTATATAAAAAGAAAACAAACCACTTCTCGCGAAGAAACGCATGGATCTTCTTCCATACGAAATCATAGCCTGTCGCTAAAAGTCAATTAACTTCCGTAACGATTTTGTTTTACTTTGCACGGACAGAATGCAGATTTTAAAAGAACTGAAACTTACCTGAAAGTGACCATGGAATCTAATATCATCGATTCTAGTTGCGAGTCATCACTTTAGACCATTACATTAATTTTCAACATAACAAATTGAATTAGACAAAAACAGTTGTCTCTCTTAAAAATTTAACTTCCGTAACGGTAATTCAAGAATGTTATTGACTGATTGATTGTATGTTGTTTTACGTCCCATTCGAGAATTTTTCACTCATATAGAGACGTCACCATATACCAAATTTTGACCTTTACTCGGCACTCAGGGCCATTGAGCAGTGAGGGATCTTTATCGTTCCAACGCCTGCCGTGACACTGGGCCTCGGTTTTTAAGGTCTCATCCGAAGAACCCGCAACTTTCACTTCAAAGTGCCGAGCGCATGGCGAAGGAACAGTTGCTACCCATTTTTTTTTTATCGACTTAGGTCAGTCGCGGCCGAGATTCGAACTCACGACCTCCCGATCACGGAGCGAGCACTCTACCGACTGAGCTACCGTGAACGGTCAAGAATGCTATTGCGTTACTATAAACATTTTAATTATTTTGTGACACAATACTGCATACTTTTGATTAACCTCTTAACACAAACGTAAATTTTATCTATTGCCGAGAATTTCAACTTTTATTACTAGAAATTAACTTCCGTGACGATATTTTACCCAAAATTTTAACTTAATAGCGAATTCATGCGAGACTTCAAAAATCATACTTCAGCGTTCTATATGAACATCAGAAAACGAAGAAAATGGTCAAATTCAGCTTTATCTAGAAGCATGTCCAAGCATTATCTTCCGTAACATTACCTTAAAATCGTTGGTATACTAGTATTTAAATTGTTGTAAAAAGTTAACGATACCAGATTTGTGGATAATTTTTTTCAAGTGCACTGATATGTCCCTTAGTGAATCGTGTTGTTCAACTGGCTATTTGAAACAATTATTTTTTCCTCATGTTAGATACCCTGAATTGGTACTTTGATCGTAGAATGACTGAGTAAGGTAGTATAGATATTAGTTTTGTATCATAACATGTCCCTGGGTGGGACAACAGTAACCTTTTATTGAATTATGGACCCCGGTATTAGGATGGTGCTAAAGTTGTGATCAGATTCTTATTTTGCATGTCTACAGGGGAGAAAACTAGTTGAAAAAAATCCTAATGGGGAAACATCAGAGCCATGTTAGTCATGTTGATATTGATGTATTCTAATATGTGGATTCAACTTAGGTTATACTATAGTATCATTACTTTTGAGGGTATTTTTTCTGAAAATTAAACAACAGGTCAAGGTTTCTCAGGTGAGCAATGTAGCCCATGGGTTGAAGGTTCTTTATGTCTTATATACTAGTATTCCAAATTATTTTGTCTATTTAACAACAAAGATAGGTCTTAGAAAATCAATATTGATATCAGGAGTAGGCCTGGTGCATGTATATGCTTATATGTGCAGGAGTGTCTTTTATTATATATAGGCGGGTTAATGTACCTCAAAGACAGGCCCGTTTAAGGTTTTAACAAGAATCGTGCTTATCTTTTGTTTAGGTCTTCTAAGCTTCGTTTGGAGGTTTCAAAATCTCTCTTATATATTAGGTTTGTCAAATGTGATTTACATTTATTCAGTCTAGTCAAAATTGAAAAGATCATGACTAGAGCTAGGACGATATATCGATAATTTCGATTCTTTATGAGAACGATATGCATATCGACATGCATGCAGAAATACCGGGTATCGAAATGTCGCAAATTTTCTTCTTTGTCTACTTAGCTTTTTGGGGTCGAGTACATGTATATACATGTACAATAAATATGCTGATCATAAATGTGAAGTACATAATAATTAAACCACTATTGTGAAATAACTTTGTACTTTTACAATTATAGATATGCAATTTCTATGAATATATCATTTTAAAAGAAAAACTCACAAATTATACATATGTACTACAAGAAGTTCATATGTTTTATTTTGCAATGATTCTTTTGTTTTATTACATGTAGTAAATTCTATCTATGCATATTTTGCAATGATTCTAAGAATAAATAGGAGAAGTGGGTGACCCAGATGACCTTTGTAGCTCACGGGCCTCGATAACGCTTTAATTTTTTTTTTAGACGTGCTAGAAATTAGTTAAATTTATAAATCTAATGGTTTAACTGTGGTTTATAGTTAATATTATTTTCGTTTACTTATTATGGAGTGGTGGATCTGTATGGTTTTTATATCACGTGAGATGATCATATAAATAGGAAGTGCGTGATTGAAAAGTCACTATCGATCCGCTCGTATACATGTTCAGGAATGGAAACCAGTAAATTAGATGTATATATATTTTTATCATTATATGATAAATGAAAGTCATAAGTAATGTGTTCGGATGTTGAATGTAAATGTTATAAAAATGTGTTGTAATAAACGTTTAGACGAGCAGCATTCCATATGATATATGAGTTTCGATCTTATCTTTTCAAACTTCTTTCTGAATACAGTTTTAAGAGACAGTATAATTATGAACGTAGTGAGGGAGAATAAAAATATCATGACTAATGCTAGGGCATCTTTAAAAAATGTTTGCTTGCCCTATCCCGACTCAGGATAAAAAAATGGGTAGGTAGGTAATTTTTTTAACTCAAAAAAAAAAAATGCAAATATGAAGTTGAAATAGTTAATAATGGGATAAAAAAAAACTGCGTACTGGATAAAAATAATAGTTTCTTGGAGGTTTAAAAAGTTACGTTGGGTCATTTTTCAGTCGGTCGGGAGAGGGCAAACAAACAATTATTTAAAGATGGCCTTACATGTTATGTTCCTAGTTTTACCCAAAGCCAAGTTTGATGTCGTAATCAAAAAGTATTTTGTTATTTGTCATAGATTATGAACCAGAATGTAATATTTTTGTAAAAATTTGTACATTTTGAAAATTAATCAAAAATGTTTTTGGTATATCTCCCTAAAAGAAATGAAAGTAAAATTTTACGACAACAAGGGCCACCAAATGTAAACTGTCCACGTTGGGCTGTCGAAGGCAGACGCCGGTTAATATTCACAGCTGGAGATCGAAAATAGAAAACCACAGCGCACTGTTTTAATTCAGAAAGGATAGGAACGCAAACATGAAATGAGACCAAGATGCATCATAACTTCAAGAAAGAAAATGAGAATTTTGTTATGTATTTTTATTCTTTATCAAATATCGGACAATGACAGTTATAAATGTCAAGCTAAAACGGTAGCGGGGGTATTTTCTTCAGTAGCTGCACAGAGAGGATGGGGGATGTACGTGACAACGTTTTGTTTTCACGGTAAATATTATTTTGGTGTGATATATCATTTGTGTCCACTGTATATGATGTAAATGTATAGGCCTAATATACAAGGGGTCCCTAAGACCCAGAGGCCAGGGAATTTCCTCACCTATAATCTGATAATGACACATCCCCCGCTTATTCTGATATTCCCCCTCAACCCCCTGTTAGGTTAGGAACCCCAGTTACCCTTCTGCTTCTTTAATGTACCTTGCTATTTAATTGTTAGAGAGAACCCTGATGTATTGATCCTTGTATATACATGTATGATGTTCTGTGTGGGTGAAATTGAAATTAGATACAGTTGAACTTCGGTATCTTGCACACAGATATTTCAAATACCATGGATATGTCGAAGTGATTTTGAAGTCCCAAGCACTTATATCTCAAGTATTTTACCCTGGATATCTCAAATCCTCAGATATCTCTAAGTATTTTGTTGGTCCCTTGAAGTTTGAGATAACGAAGTTTGACTGTATGTAGTATGAAAAGAAGGAGTGAATGAACATACTTTGATGACTGGACTGAGGATCGAACCCAGGACTCCTGCTCTACTAGTTAGATGCTCTTGCCACTGAGGTATCCAGGGCAATATTGTTACATAGCCCAACCCATGGCTACAAAGTTTTGCTGTTGCTTGCTGGAAATAGAGAGAGAGACCCTATTGCATCACTAGAAAAGCTAGCTCATTCATGAGGAAGTTTAAGTTCCTAATACACTGTCCGCTACACTTCCTCCAGCACAGGGAAGCTTAGACCCTAAGCTAAGCATGGGTTCTCTTTGAGTATATACTGAGTAAGTGGGGCCTCTTCAATAATGACAATTAAACAATGCCAATGCTGCAGGGTCACTACACTGCCACCAATTTTGTAACGTGAAAGAGTCACCCATCTAAAAGCTATACAAAGGGAGACTTTAAAGCTGACTCACTATAGTGAGGCAGTATAAAATTCCTAGTATATATAGTACAATGTATATACTGTCTGCTACTTTATCCATGGTCCATATACATGATAGCCAAAATTACTTCAAAATCACATACATGAAGTGCTTATCAAAACAATTTCAAACCACTGGACCTGCCATTTGCAGCATTTGAAATACCCAAGCCGCTAAAATATGAACCCCGCTTTTTTTAAGTACACATGCATACAGTATTTGATTTTTTAATGTAATGATTTTCACAAATGAATGCAATTTTCACAAATGAATGCACATTTTATCAGTAAAGATAAAACTTGATTTAAATCATCAGAGATTTGATTAAAAATGTTGAATGTAATCTTTAACTTTAGAATGTACCTCAACACCACCACCCCTCCTCTGGAAAACAAACAGAAAACTGTTTAATATCACATGTTTAATTAAAAAAAAATTTAATGAGAAAAATCAAACTGTAAAATTTCAGAGAATTTTTGCTTACATTTTGTTGTCTTTTATTTAGGGAATGCCTTGATAAATTACACCTTGGAGGCTGAAGAGGGTACATTAGAAGAGTTTAAACCACAGTTGTTACTCTTCACAAAACAAGACTTAGAAGATCTGGAGGAGGAAGACTGTTCAGAAAAACTCAGCAGGGCTTCATTTACTTGTAACATTATATTACATCTTTCTGACTCTCCAAATTTATTTCATTGACATTTTAGTGTGTATACATTAAGATACTAAGACTTATTAAAGCTTCATTGTTGGATATGGCATGATACCCATGGATGATCTCGTCTTTTACTCATTATGATGAGTATTAAGAAGAGTTCACCCATGTGTATCCGATGTTAAAGCTTCTGTGCCATGTCATTTTCGTAAAATCATGATTGTTTCTTCAATGTTTTGCAACTGATGTTATGAAATTATACACACATAAGAATGCAAATACATCCTGAATACAAAAATTATTTATATTTAATTAAATGTACATTTACTTGTATAAGATAAGATAAGATAAGATATGTTTTATTACTAATTCAGTGCCCAAATGAGCATAAAGAGAACAAACTTACAAGAGAAAGGCCTAAAAACTACAGATGTAAATTTTGCACTTTTTTAAATTCAGAATGCAGTTTTGAATATGTACAGTATGGATGGTTTATTAAATGATGAAAACATAAAACTTCTTAATGTAAAATGTCTTTCTGGAATTTTTTTGTTTTCTATATTGACAAATTTCATATTTTATAGTTGAGCTGAGAAATACTACAGGAAACCTGAGTGTTAATGCCCCGACCAACCCACACTTGTACCATGTCATGTATGGGGACCAGTTAACCTGTCTGGATACAGACTCAAATGAGGACTCAGATTCCAGTATGTTCAAGTTCAGAATCCAGTTGCTAAATCCAGACAGTCTGGGAAATCCAACTGAACACTTTGGAGATGATGAAACTGGTAAAATTGTCTTCCATTTAACTTTAATTACTGTGGAATCATTTTAATTCGTGGGGGGTCAATGTTCATGGGCAAGCAAAATTTTGCTTTTTTGTGGGGACGTAATTTCGTGGGTTACTCGTTTATAAGGTGGTTCAATGAATGAATGCATATATTATATGTTTACAAAATAAACGTTCATGGGGATGTAAATTCGTGGGTAAGGGTGACCCACGAAACATTGGTCCCCCACGAACAATGGTGATTCCACAGTATACCAGTAAGAGGCAAAGGTGAAAATGAGATTATCTGAAGAAGCTGTGTCTAGAATCTCCCAGAGTAGCAAAACCTAGTTTTAATTGTGTTAAGCCTTAAAGAAATGTTTCATTTTTGGAGTAAACAAACTTCAAGTTGGCCAAAATGTAATTTTGGCTTACCTATTTTTACCTTTTTCTAAAGACCCATGAAATGCTCAGACCTATAGGCATTTGGCAGATTTTTTTTACATGTATCAAATTCAAGTGATCACCTAAAAGTATTTTGTAATTTTCAAGAAAAATGTGAATTGTAAACTACATGTACATGTTTATAAACACATGTATGTATATGTAGTACAGATTACAGAAAGAAAAGGGGGTGGGGGTGGAGGGGGGATGTTCAGTTTCAAGTATTTGTGAACATTTGTGTTGAACTTAAAAGAAACAGTAATACATGAACTTAACGGATGATTACATGTAGTTCCAAAGAATAAAGGGATAAATTTAAAATGTTGATTTTGAATTACATCAGATATTTAGTTTATTCTTACACTTTACAGAAACATAACATCAATAATTGTTTTTCACAAAATGATCTATGTGCTGTACTTAATGTTTATTTCCACAGGTCTCTTGCGGTTCTATCAGCTGTTGACCCTGGCGTACTTTGTACTAGGCTGTATATTTGCTCCGCGACTCTACGAGACTCTGAGTAAGGGGGGACCCATGCAGCTTGTGATTATACTTCTTACTGTCTCAACTTGTCTACAGGCCACGGGGACATTTATCATGATGATACACCTGGCCAGGTAATCAAAACATAAGTCACCATAAAGTGTTCGGGGGACAAAGTAGTTTATTTGAACAAGATTTCAAAGTGTGGCTGCCTTATAGTAATCACCATGTTTGAAAACTTTGATATGGTATAGAAACTTTTGTTCTTTCAAACCTACATGCTTCATACACTGCACATGTATTACATAACAACAAAGTTAAAGAAAACACCCATAGTCTTTCGGGGAGTCAGTTGTACAAAGTTCAAAGTGAAAGGCCAAGATTAGTTGTGTGATATATTGCAGTCTCCAAGAATATATAATATTTAGAGTACCTGTTAGATTCATTTATCAAAATTAATGCATATAAAATTAAGAATCTGAGATAATCAATATGTTTGCAAACATAGCAATAGGAAAAGTTCCTCGCTGGAAAAGTGGTTTTGAAATAATTGTGCAGAATTATATTTATGATGAAGTGAAATAATTCAGAGTAATTGTGGATATTTATTAAAAGATTTTTTTTTTAAATTTTAGATATTCCAAGGATGGAATGGGATCTGCAGCCATTGAGTTCTTTGCAGAGTGTAAGCCACCTTTGAGAAAACTTGATATATTTAACATTTTTATTTAATTAAAACTTAGTACTAAGAACTATGAAGTAAAACCCCCGTCACACCGATGACTTGTTTTGTTTTGTTTTGTATGTTGTTTAACATCCCTCTCAAGAATTTTTCACTCATATTGAGATGCCACCACTTGCCGGTGGAGAGCTGCAAATTTTGTCCTGTCCTCGGCACATACGGCCATTGAGCAGTGAGGGATCTTTTTCGTGCCAGTGACATGGGACCTCGGTTTATACGGTCTCATCCGAAGGACCGGTCTCCACGTCCCACAGTGGGATTCGAACCCGCAACGTAAGGATCAACTCCTTACTTCGCGACTCTAGAACAGACGCTCTAACCACTGCGCCACGCAGGTGACGTCACACCGATGACATAATGATGCATAAGTTTAGTCTTTTTAGCTCACCTGAGCCAAAGGCTCAAGTGAGCTTTTCTGATCAAAATTTGTCCGTTGTCTGTCGCCGTTGTTGTCGTTGTCATTGTTGTTGTAAACTTTTCACATTTTCATCTTCTTCTCAAGAACCACTGGGCCAATTTCAACCAAACTTGCCACAAAGTATCCTTGGGTAAAGGGGATTCAAGTTTGTTCAAATGAAGGGCCACGCCTTCTTCCAAGGGGAGATAATTAAGAATTCGTGAAAAATTAATGGCATCATTAAAAAATCTTCTTCTCAAGAACCACTGTGCTTGAAAATATGAAACTTATGTGGAAGCATCCTCAGGTAGTGTTGATTCAAGTTTGTTCAATTCATGACCCCCGGGGGTCGGGTGGGGCCACAATGGGCGATCAAAGTTTTACATAGGAATATATAGGAAAAATCTTCTTCTCAAGAACAGCAAAGCCATGATTGGTCATATTAACATGGAAGCATCCTCAGGTAGTGTAGATTCAAGTTTGTTCAAATCATGACCCCCGGGGGTCGGGTGGGGCCACAATGGGCGATCAAAGTTTTACATAGGAATATATAGGAAAAATCTTCTTCTCAAGAACAGCAAAGCCATGATTGGTCATATTAACATGGAAGCATCCTCAGGTAGTGTAGATTCAAGTTTGTTCAAATCATGACCCCCGGGCGTCGGGTGGGGCCACAATGGTTGATCAAAGTTTTACATAGGAAGATAAAGGAAAAATCTTTAAAAAATCTTCTCAAGAACAGCAAAGCCATGATTGGTCATATTTATATGGTAGCATCCTCAGATAGTGTAGATTCAAGTTTTTTCAAATCATGACCCCCGGGCGTCGGGTGGGGCCACAATGGGCGATCAAAGTTTTACATAGGAATACATAGGTTAAATCTTTAAAAATCTTCTACTCAAGAACAGCAAAGCCATGATTGGTCATATTTAAATGGAAGCATCCTCAGATAATGTAGATTCAAATTTGTTCAATTCATGACCCCCCTCCCCCCCAAACCACTTTTTTATTTTAAACTTTTCAACCTTTCAAGACTGAACTGATTTCTGCTTTTTCCTAGCCATAGTGCTCAAGTGAGCGATGTGGCCCCTGGGCCTCTTGTTTATATCATCAGTTTATTGTTTGGACCTATATTTTCAGTCTTTGATGTGTTGTACCAGTTTGCTATGCTGTACATGCTTCTGACCTATATTTTCAGTCTTTGGTGTGTTGTCTCAGTTTGCTATGCTGTACAAGCTTCAATTCTGACCTATATTTTCAGTCTTTGATGTGTTGTACCAGTTTGCTATGTTGTACATGCTTCTGACCTATATTTTCAGTCTTTGATGTGTTGTCCCAGTTTGCTATGCTGTACATGCTTCAATTCTGACCTATATTTTCAGTCTTTGATGTGTTGTACCAGTTTGCTATGCTGTACATGCTTCTGACCTATATTTTCAGTCTTCGATGTGTTGTATCAGTTTACTATGCTGTACATGCTTCTAACCTATATTTTCAGTCTTTGATGTGTTATCCCAGTTTGCTATGCTGTACATGCTCCTGAGTCTCAGTCTGGGCTGGACACTGGGCACCTCCTACAGATTTGCACACCTACAGATGGTCAGTCGTAAACCAGCAGCTAAAGTTGTAGGTGTACTTGGAATTGTTCAGGTGAGTGTTACCAGTATATGGCACACGACTGTCATGTGGTTTTGTGTGTTAAACATGAATTGGAAAACCAGAATATTTAATTAAAGTCAGAAAAGTAACCAATTTTTTTCAGTGGTCTATGTACATGAACTTGAGGGGAAATTTACAGTCTGTCTAATTAGGTACATGTAAAACATCATGCACATGTGCCTAATAATTTGAAATATCATGAAAGAAAAATCTTTGTAGAGAACAGCCAGAAATATATTTTACATTTATTCAACATGTACAGAACTATCTGATCAGAAAGCTCTGATTGATTTTCTATCATTGATATTTATTTTCAAATACTGGGAAATCATTAATATTTGTGGAGGTTTAATTTTCGTGGTACATATATGAAGAGACCCACAAATTCATGTGATCCACAGAATGTAAAATTTAAAAAATTGACAATTCGACACATTTTCAACCACCACATAATCAATCCCCAAGAAAAAACCATGAATTTTTTTCTCAAACCACAAAAAATTGACCCCACAAAAATATGTAATTTTACAGTACGTATTATAACAGTCAACTGTTTCAAGTTGTATCGTGTATGTCTTAAGGCAGTTGTGTTTGTATATGGGGCTGTGTTGTTTGTTTGTTTGTATATTATTGTATTTGTTTGTAGGCTGTTTTGTTTGTTTGGGAGCAGATTCAGGACAGTGACCACAGGATGTACCATGCACATCGCAGCTTTGCGGGAATAGCCCTAGTCATTTTGCGGATCCTGCTGGCAGCTTTATTTGCATGGAATCTGAATGTAACTGTGTCTTCAGAACGCAGCGCTCTACGACGAGAATTTTATAAATCATTTACAAAGGTACCTTTTTACTTCTTTATTAAATATTTTTAAACATAAAACTTTAGCATATGTGTATGTGCACATATTTATAACCCTCATTCCCTCCGCTTGAGAAGTGGGTGGGGGTATATTTAGTGATGGAGCTGTCCGTCCTTAACAGTTGGGGGTACCCATCTCTTATCTGCAACTCCTATATCATGGAATAAAATTTAATAAGACCCTCACAGAATCTTTACGTAGTGTCATTGTGCATCTCATATTTTGCATTTGGACATTTGGGGTTTCTCGGAACAAAACATAAACACTGCCATTATTTCTATAACATTGAGAGTACCCATCTCTTATCCCCAACTCCTCTTATGCCACTGAATAATGAGACTTTCAAAAAATCATTATTACATAGTGCCATTGTGCACCTCCTATTTTCTGGTTTTAATCGGACAGAAATTTCGGGTTTTCCACAGCAAAACATGGACATGCCATTCTTCCTATAAAATAGGGGTACCCATCTCTTACATGTATTCGCAACTCCTCCTATACCAATGAATAAAATTTAATGAGACTTTTTTACAAAATCCTCATTACATAGTGCCAATGTGCACATCTTTTGCACAAATTTCATTTGATTTGACAGAAATTTGGGGATTCCCATAGCAAAACATGGTCACTTTCTTTCTATAAAATTGGGGGTGTCCATGTCTTATCTGCAATTCCTCTATACCAATGAAATGAATGAATAAAATTTGATGAGACTTTCACAAAACTTTCTTACTTCTTGTTTCAATCAGACAAATATTTTGGGTTTCTCATAGGTAAACCTGGACATTGCCATTCTATAACATGGGGGGGGGGGGGGGTGTGTGTTTACCCACCTCTTATCTGCTAGTTGAAAAAGTTGTTCTGAATTCTATTTGTAGTATTTTAATTATTTAATGAGCACTGGTTTTATTTTACAGAGCTGTATGCTTTGGTTTTTATGCTATCCACTTTTAGTTGTCCTGTCCTGGATATTCTATGAATATCTTCGTTATAAGGTATGTTGATGTATTACAGTAAGGTGCTTCAATCTCAACATTTCAATATGTTAAAAAGTGATAAAAACTAATTGAACATACTGTATGATATTTTATTTAGGATTTTCACCATGGGACTCTCCAAGGTTTAAGAATCCAGCACTAATTTAAATACATTACCACTTTCAGACTTTAGTTACTAAGTATAGTTCATCCTCACAATGTCAAGGTTTTGTGATTTCGGAACTCCACACATACCCTTGACATAAGTCGTTATTTAAAAGTTTGGCTTGCGGTTACACATGACGTAATCAATGGGTAATTATAAACTAACCAATGAGAATTTATTCTTCAAATCCATCGTTATCAAATTGCTCAACTCCAGAGCACATCTTTTGTGATTGTAAGGAGGATGATCTTCAAAATCCCCGATGTTAATCATTTAAAGTAACTAGTCACAAATCCTACAATATTGACACTTTCCATTTTAAAGACGAGTCATATTTGTTTCCGAAACTTACCGATAATAAAAGCTGTTTTGTGATCAGTCCTAGACCAGGAACAAATGAAATAGTAGCTTTCTAGCCCAATTTTTAAATAGCGACTTATGTCAAGGGTTAGTGTGGAGTTCCGAAATCACAAAACCTTGACATTGTGAGGATGAGTATAGTTTGACTCAGTCTCACTCATTCTAAACATGGTTATTTCAGTTGTCTGGACCTTTTTTATCAACTAACATAGTTATTGTAATAAAGAATTAAAGATGAAGTTGCAAAACAACATGAAGATCATATAGGTCCAATTTACTATATTAATGGTTGAAATTTAGAACAATTTCATTTTTAGCTCACCTCAAGGAAGTTGGGGGAGCTTATGTAATACCCTCGGCGTCGGCGTCGGTGTTGACGTCGGCGTCCCAGGTTAAGGTTTTTGGAGCAGTTTTCTTTTCAAGTACTTCTATGGCCTATATTAGTCAGAGATGCATGGAGGATGCTTCTAGTGTGTTTCATTGTACCAGTCAAGGTTTCAGATGCTGCAATTTCAGCTAAAGAATGACAAGGTTAATGTTTTTGGAGCAGGTTAAAGTTTTTGGAGCAGGTCTCATTTCCAAGTAACTATAAGCCCTATATTGACCAAACTTGCATGGATGATACATCTAAGGATGCACACTACTGAACTTGCTTCGGATGCTGGATCTGACCTACAATTTCCGGATGAGTGACTAGGTTAAGGTTTTTGGAGTAGATCTCATTTCCAAGTAACTATAAACCCTATATTGACCAAACTTGCATGGATGATACATCTTAGGATTCACACTACTGGACTTGCTTCGGATGCTGGATCTGACCTATATTTTCCGGATGAGTGACCAGATTAAAGTTTTTGGAGCAGATCTCATTTCCAAGTAACTAAAAGCCCTATATTGACCAAACTTGCATGGATGATGCATCAAGGGACGAACAATCTCAAAACTTGCTTCGAATGCTGGATTTGACTTACATTTTCTGAATGAGTGTCTAGTTTTAAGTTTTCAGATAAGTCCATTCCCAAGTAACTGCAAGCCCTATCAGACCAAAATTGCATAAATGTTGCATCTAGGGATGCACATTCCTAGATTATTAGTTTAGTGTGGGACTTTGCCTTACTTAAAGACAACATTCGTTGAGGTGAGCTCTGTAATCTCTGATTACCTATGTTTATTAATTTTTTAAGTTTACCTGAGACAAAAGCTTAAAGTTTGTTCAAATCATGGCCCCCAATGGCTTGATACAAATGTAATTTCTCCATATGCTGATTCTGTGATTTTTCTGTGTTCCAGCTAATCACTATGGGCGTGGTCTTATGTCAGTGCTGTGCTGTGGGCATGTTGTACAAATTGTTCTTCTCTAGAAGCCTCTACTGGGAAATATCTGCACTCTCCAGCACACTTCCACTGAGAATGGACAGAACTTTAGGACATAAACTGTACTCCTGACCAATCTTTTGGTCATTCACTGTAGTCCTTATCAAACTTCAGGACATAGATTGTATTTTTGTCAGGTTTTGTGCTTGAATTTTTTTTAATATGTGCCTGTATTTATTGCATTAAAGAGAGAAATTTTTGGTCAAGGGCTTTGGGTAGCATTTTTCTTTCAAAAAATGAAGCTTAATGCACTTCACATTTCTTTCTTAATGTTTTTGTGCTTTGTTATAAAATTACATACCTGATCAGATACATGTGTATCAAATGCTTATTTAAAATTTGAGAACAGCAGTCTGCCAAATACAAATTGAAATATATTTTGATACATGTACATGTATACAATGATGTGCACACTTAATTATGCATTAAAAAAGAATCATATTACTTTTCTACATGAAATGGGTAAAACTTGAAGTGCATAGTATCTGTAAATTAATGTTGCTTAAAATTTCATTAATGGCATGCATCTAATTTATATTTAATACTCAAAGTAGATCAGAATATAGTATACTTGCATGTCAAATTTGAACAAAATGTGAATGTGAGTATCACAAGATACATTGTCTGGTTATATATTTATACCCCAGCCGAACTAAATTGAGTATATGTATAAAAGAAAGAAGAATTAAATTGGTTGTAGGAAGTGCATGGATTCATTATACATTTTCATGACTTGTTTTTGCACTCACTGCTCATAAGAGTGTCTTTATAATGTTACATGACTTTTATGATACTGTATACAGTACTGTGCACTAGAATACATTTTTATTTTCACTGTCATCCAAAAGTGGCAGATTTGAAAACTCAGCTTATTAAAGGTGAAATGCTGTAATTACGGATTTACAATTACATGTATTAGTTGAATGTTGAATTTGCATTAGCAAAATTTAAGTTAGTTGACACTGGTTTTCTGTTTGCATGAATTTTATTTCATTTATTTTGTAAGTTGCCAAAACAAGAAATCATGCCTTTTAAAATTCTTTGTTTACATGGTTAGGATAAAGTCTGTGTATTGAAACATGTTGAATGGTAAACCTGACATAAGTGTGTTTTCTTGTAAAATTTGCATGGCTGTTGAATGGAGTGTTTATGTACAATTTTTTGTACATGTATCTACATGTGCATTATAAACATTTATATGAAGTGAGGTATACTAAAAAATTGTACGTTTGCTACTAAAAGGGCTTGTAGTTTATGAATGCTCTGATCGAGTGCTTTGTACATTAAATCTGAAGGGAGATTAATTCAAATTATTTATGCACACCAGAGGAAAAGCCTGTGTACACAGTATATGTATATTGAATAAAATATTCATTGTATAAAAAGAGTGTAAATGTGTGTGAAGAAGAAATGTAACTGTATGTAATAACTATGTAAGTGTGTTTGTTGTAACATCTAATTGTGTTCATGATATCATTGATAAACTGTGGTTGTACAAGTCATTATCAAGTTATTTAAAATTAAAATAAATTTTATGAATCTTTTACGTTGTAATTGCTGAAAAATGTGCTTAAAAGGCAATTGAATGGTTTACATAGTTTGGGTGGTTTTACTTTTTGTATACTGTGAAATTAATTTCATCACAGGCACCTGTTTCTGTAATAAATAGTTTGTAATGCTGTGGGTTAAAAATTTATTACAAAACAAGTGCCTGTGGTTTTCATGGTGAAAAGACCACAAATTTATATTTATATTTAAAATTTATATTTAACTGTGACATCCTACAATGTGGCCTAAATTGATTGTGCTTCTACTTAGGTAGCCTATATTGACTGATGTCCTACACTATTGCCTATATTGACTGTTACATCATACATTAAAGCCTAATTTGACTATATCTACTACAGTCTAAATTGGCTGCGACATCCTAAACTTATGGCTAAATTGACAAAAGTCCTACATATTGCCTAAATTGCCTGTGACAACCAAAACTAAATTGTTTGTGACATTGTACACTACTGCCTAAATTGACTGCGACATCCTATGCTATTGCCCAAATTGAATGTGGCATCTATACTATAGCCTATATTTACTGTGACATCCTACATTACAACCTATATTGACTGTGTTATTCTATATGGTAGCTAACATTTATAATCTATTTCAATAATTCTATCACAGGGAAGCCGAATTATTTTCCTTAAAAATTACAGTGTTTCCAAATGATACCCACTCAAATGCTGAATCCAGACCAACATACACACATTAAAAGAGAGTTTATATATGAGTTACGTGAATTAGAAATTTGTTACAAAAAGACTTAATAGGTGTATGAAAGAAGTTTTGAAATCAAGTACAAATACAGTTGAATTTCAATACTGAGAATGAAAAGGAAGTCATAATTCACAAACACTTTTTTACTGTTTTTTAACCTCAATATCTTGAATCCTCCAATATCTCTGGGTTTTTTCTCGTCTTTCTAGATTAAAAGAGAAACCGTGTAATGGTATTGTATCAGAGTTGCAGCTTTTTAGTCTTTTATTCTAATTTTTACTATTAATTTCATTTGTATGCTCCAGGTTCAAAAAGCCTCTTCTCTAAATTTTTATTTAATCAAATATTCATGTAAATAGTTCATATAAGCTTTGATAAACTTTCATACGTATTTTCAAAAATAATGCCAAATTGACTTTAATTTCTGCTTTAAACCAGCAAAAAATCACTTTTATCATCATATCTTCATTTTAGCAAAAATCAAAAAACACCAAAATGGAAGACTGCATTTTTATATAATTCTTCCTCACATGACTTAGATATAAATTCAATAAATCATAAGTCTTCATACTGCAGAGACTACTACATGTATAAATTTTGTCTTTGTCGTAGTTCTCATGAACACTCCCTAGGATCCACCTCTTGTTTATATCAGTACGTGTTGTGTGGTATGTTGATGGTCCTTTATTACCATCTCCTATCTCAGTCATCTCCTCATAACTAAGTCACCTCCTCATAACTAGGTCACCTCCTCCTATCTGTGTCACCTCTATTTCTGTCACCTCCTCCTGTCCCTATAATTATCACTGTATCTATCCCTGGGGGACCTGTCCCTTCGACGAGGTGAATACTCCCTAACTTGTCTAATTGGAGATCGATCTCGAGTTCTGGGCTTTGGGGAATAATCTCTGTCTCTATCTCTCCTGTACGGAGGAGAATTCTCTCGTCGCCTAGGTGACTCCTTGTTTCTTTCTCTATCCCCTCTGTGTGGAGGGGACTGTTCTCGCCGTCTGGGTGATTCCCTGTCTTTTCGTCTGGGGGAAAAGTCTCTACCTCTTGGTGATCTGTCCCTGTATCTATCATCTCTGTATCTGGGTCTGTCTAATGAAGATCCAGTATCTCTATCCCTACCTTGTTCTCTATACCTCACTGGAGATCCTTCTCTATCCTTTAAGTCTCTATCACTCTCTTTTCTCCTATCTATTGATGACTGTTGTCTTTGATTTTTAGTTTGTTCTTTATCAGGTAATTCTTTTGTGCTTTGGGATTTTTCACTCCTTCTTTTATTCTTGATTTTGCTAGAGTCTTCACTATCACTGTCCGACTTCTGCTTCTTCATCTTATTTTTCTTTTTCTTCTTCTTTGCCTTTTTCTCTGTTAATACGGAAGTATCATTTATCAAATCTTCTTTCAATAAATTCATGAATTGACAGTGCATTTACTTATAAGAAGAATTACCAGCAAATGCATCATTAATATTGTAAAATTACCTATCAAATCCATAAAAAAGGGTACCTTGTGAACTAAATGATTAAAGTTTTCGTAATATTTATTAGACTTGTGGCATGCATGTATCATTAAAAAATACAACGAGTAATAATAGCTAGTGTATTACTGACATAAGTAAGATAATTAGGTAACTCTCTTGTATTTAAGGTACACTGTGTCTCTGAATTGAGGACCAATGACAGGGGAAAAAATATGGTATATGGATCAAGTTTGAGGTAGTGGATTTTGGTTGACGTACAAAGAAGTATGAAAATTTTGCAAAAATGATTCATTATCAATACAGATCACACTGACAAGAATAAGGAATTGCAAAAAATCTTGCATTTTTGTTTACCCTTGAAACATCATACCTAAAATTCTTCTCTATATTGCATTCACTCATACAGAGCAAAAAACATCAAAGTCCAAAAAAAAGAGAGCACATTCAAGAGGAACTACCCTTGTGAATCATGATCAAAGTTACTAACCTTTTTTGTTTTTCTTCACTGGTATAGTATAATCCTCTTCCTCAGAATCACTGTCCTCGTCCTCTACTTTGGGGGCAATCCCCTCCAGCCTCAGTTTCTTTGTTACCTCATCCTCATCCCCATGCTCTTTGGGGACTTTGTAATTTTCCACATGATCTACACGAATGGTTCTTCCTAAGAGCTGTATGTAAACAAACAAATGGACTGTTATTATCCATTTTTAACAGGCTAACTCATAGATTTTGCATCCCCTACTTAAGGAAAAATATGCAGATGGAGAAAGAAAAAACGATCAACCTTCAACTTTCAGCTTTTGGCCTTGAAGTCAATAGGGGTCTTTAATGAGTAAAAGAAATTCATGACCTTATGTTTCTCTAACATGATAATATCCAAAACTTAAGAGATTTCAGCTTACCTTGATTCCATTCAGGTTATCTACAGCTAGTACAGTGCTCCTCTGATCTTCATAACAAATGAAGCAAAATCCACGAGACTTTCCTGTCTTTCCATCTCTCACCAAGTTGATATTCACCAATTCGCCATATCTTACAGAAAATAAAAGATTTAATTTAGATGTATCCATAGAATTTAGTAGGTTATTAAATATTTATTGAATAATTCACTGTATTCATCATGTAAAGTAACTGGTTAATACACATATAATATAATTACAGTCAAACCTCATTATCTCGAATTTGATGGGACCGAGAAAAAAACTTTCAGATATCTGAGGGTTCGAGATATCTAACTTAAAAGACTTAAAAATTAAGTGGTTGGGACTTCCAAATCAATTTGACATATCCATGGTATTTGAGATATCCATATTCTAGATATCAAAGTTCAACTGTTTGATTATATTTACAATAGAAATGTACAATTGTATGAAAACAAACCATAACGTAATGACTACTAACTGTGAGAACACTGCTATTACATCTCCCTCTGTCAGGTCATAGGGAAGTCCCCCGATAAAGATCCATGCACTGTCCTTGTACTGGTCATGCCATGATTTCTTCCCTACTAGACCTAACTCTAGTTCTCTCTCATTCATCTTCTGAACATTTTTTATGTTTCTGTTAAACAAATTCTGCAGATATGAGCATTAATTCTGATGGATAGTTTTTTTTCAAATGAAAATCTAGGATAAATTTTGAACTTATGATTTCAACATTAAAATGCATACTGTAGTGAAGTTGCATATGTAAATATATCCCCTGTGACCTTTCACCCTGACCTCATAGCCACCCACCCGTGCCGGCACGCTTCCCACATCAGTCGAGTCCTGCCAGTCTACCTATTCACCACGTTACCTGTTATTCTTGTGTTTGTTGCATGTACCCGTGTTTACCCAACATGTAAACCTGGGTGTTTCGTCGTCACCTTATACTAAAGTAGGCGACATTATTAGTAAAATCCCCTAATTTTACTACATTGGCGTTGCCGGTAGGATTTCCATGTCATATTAAATAATAGTCATATATTTTCGGCTTACATTCCTCTAGTAAGTAAATTACAACATTTGCCCCTTGCTTTATTAAATAAAACGGGAAGGAATGTAGTGAAATTGCATATGTAAATATATCCCCTGTGACCTTTCACCCTGACCTCATAGCCACCCACCCGTGCCGGCACGCTTCCCACATCAGTCGAGTCCTGCCAGTCTACCTATTCACCACGTTACCTGTTATTCTTGTGTTTGTTGCATGTACCCGTGTTTACCCAACACGTAAACCTGGGTGTTTCGTTGTCACCTTATACTAAGGTAGGCGACATTATTAGTAAAATCCCCTAATTTTATTACAATACTTATAGACAAAAATTTGGTCTTTGAAAAGAAAGCTTTGATTTACATACATGCCATTGGTATATTATACATACTGTAAAACAGTTTTTAAACTGAAGCTGATGTTTTATCGAAAATTTTCTCACATAAACTCGGCGGAAAATAAAGTAGTTTAAACAAAATATTCATAAAATAAACATCATCAAGTTACAATTACTTTTTCGAATTTCCTCTGAAATCGTAAACATCCCTGAGTTTGCTCTGAATCACCATCTATAAATGTTACATTTAATTTCAATGGATTAATCGTTGCTAACTTATGTTATATAATTTAAAATAAAGTATATTACGTTAGAGGGTTCATGATGCCAGGCAGCAAAATGTCTATTTCTTCTATCAACGTTACTTCTCTAAAAACCCTCACTTGAAGACTTCCGGTTTTCGGGTGCAAGACATGTCGTACGTTTTTGAATTTGGTGGGTCAGTGTAACATTAGTCCCCATACACTCAG